GTATTCTACAACGCTACACTGTGTTTGCGGGTCTGCAACTTGCTAAATAAGGTTTCCGAATTCTTTGTTGTCGTCTGCTTCTTCGTCATCATAAATTTCAATCTTGAAGCCCCCTTTACGGAAACATTCGAAAGCACAAAATTGTCGATCAGAATCGTTATGGAAAGAAGAAAACTCAATGTCTTTTGAGCCTTGAAGAAGTGATAATGCAGTGTGCTTCACCGCAATTGAAGGTGATGACCCCGATCATTTGTTTATATCCGGGGTCATTATACTGTCCAGACACCACGCGATGCGTGGGCGTGTGGTGTGAAAAATGTAATCAGTTGCCATTGTTTTACACGGGACGTTACTTGTAGTGTGAGATTTGGTATTGTTTCTGTGACGTTCGCGGAATTTGGACACAATGCACACTTTTTAGGTCGGGCAGACCGAATTACTAGACAGCGGATGTGGTGCAAATGGTCGGATGGTCGATGTATTCAGTGTGAATATTGGACTTGGGACCGATCAATGCGGTCGGTGTTCGGAGTAAACAGTGGTCGGATTTCACAGGTTGTTTTAACATAGGCGTCTATGGAGAAATTTCGGGGCTACATAAATCGGTCGGTTCTGACAGTAGGTCGGTTTATCCAGGGGTCGGTTTTGACAGGTTTTACTGTAATTAGCTAATTTTTAGCTGTTCTATGACTGTTCCACTAATATCTAGAGAACCACTCATTGGATTTTGATGAAACTTGGTACATAGATGCTCTGAACATATGCGCAGATTTGATTAGTTTTTGGTAAACATCCATGCATATTAATTACCTAATTTGCATGACTGTTCCACTGATATCTAAAGAACCACTCATTGGATTTTGATGAAACTTGGTACATAGATGCTCTGAACTAATGCTAGGTTTTGATTAGTTTTTGGTAATAATTCGTGGATACTAATTAACTAATTTGCATAATGATTAGTCATTTTGCGGTTTTTCCACTGATATCTCAAGTACTAATCATCACATTTCAATGAAACTTGGTACATAGATGTCATATGACACTGCACAGACCTGATAGTCTTTATGGTAATATCAGTACATATTAATTACCTAATTTGCATAATTAATTAATTTTCAGCATTTGATATAAGTAGTGAGCATTACATTTCAATGAAACTTGGTACTTACATACTCAAGGACTATGCAGAGATTGATTGTTTCCGTTAAATATTTGTGCATAATTATCACCTAATTTGCATAATTAGTTAATTTTCAGCTTTTCCACAGGTATCTCAAGTACTAATCATCGCATTTCAATGAAACTTGGTACATAGATCCTTTAGACTATGCAGAGACCTGATTAGTTTAGGGTAAATAATTGTGCATATTAATTACCTAATTTG